GGGGGAGGGACGACACACCCCCAAGCTCAGCCCAACCCGGAAGGTGGGCCCCTCCAGGCCCCGCCCCCACCCAGCCCCCTGCCTAGGGTCCCGCCCACCGTCGAACACGAGGTCGTCGGGTGCCACCATGGGCAGCAGGGCGCTGAAGGGCACGAACACCTCCTGGCCGTCGGCGTCCAAGCCCAGGCTAACGGTGCCGGCCTGCGTCAGCGAGCCGTAGTAGTTGGCCTCCTGGGGGGGCGGCAGGCGGGGCGGGGTGAGGTGGGGCGTGGCGTGAGCCACTAGCCGGCCCGGGCCCCGCCCGGCACCCTCAAGCTCCGCCTTCCTTCTGGATGCCTCAGCTCTGTGCTCCTCGCCCGGGCAGAAGTCGCTCGGCCTTTGGAGGTCCCCCCCCACCCCCGAGAGCCCGCCGGCACCTTAGGCTACGTCCCCGGAGGTTCTCCTCCTTCGTAGAGCTCCGCCCCCTAAAGGCCCTTCCCCCTCCTGCAGGGACTCCGGCCGAGCCCCACCCGACCCCCCACCTTGCGGCCGGTGCGCGTGGGCCAGGACAGGCGCAGGCGGTTGGCCAGCACGGCAGCGGTGAGCGTGGAGCCGTTGTTCCCGCCCCAGCCGACGAGCATGACCCCAAGCCGGGGCACCTGCCGGGCGGTCCGAAAGGTGAAGCGCGTGGACGTGGGGTATACCTGGGGGCGGGCGGTGCAGTGAGCCTGAGGCCACAGGCCCTTCCTCCCTCACAGAGTCTTCGACGTTGGGTAATTCCCGTCTCCTCCCGGCTCCCTGGTTCCCCCATTCCCACCCCCCCACCCCGGGTCCCTTGCCTACCTTGAGGACACTGCCCTCGCGGCTGACGCACGTTGTCCGGTACTCGTACTGAGCCTCGATGGCGTCGGGGCCGTAGACCACGTCGGGGCTCTCGACCACGAAATCGGCTGTGGCCTCCATCGCGGAGAGCTAGGGGCGCAGGGTGGGCAGGAGGTCAGCGGGGACAGGAGAGCCGGCGGCCCGAGCCGACCGCGGTCCCTAGGGAGCCCGCACCACGCCCCGGGGCCGCACTCACCGGCGCGGAGTCAACTCGGACAGTGGCGGACGGCGAGGGCTCGGGGCGCGCGAACTCCAGAGAAAAGAGCCGCGGCCCCGCCCCCGCCCCGCCCCTCACCCCACCCGCGCCAGGGAGGAGGGGCACGCGGGGAGGAGGGGCGCGCCGGCCTAGGACTCGGAGGACTCGGGTTCAAGGCCCCGTAGGCCCGAGCCATCGCTGCCCTTGGGTTCCCGCCCCCCCCCCACCGGGCGCGGCCTGACGTCCACGTGGGCTGCAGACCCCGGCCCGCGCACCGGGCGCGTGGATTCGCTTCGCACCACAGCCGGTTAGGGCGCGCGGCCACTTTCCCTCATTTTACGAAAGAGGACATTAAGGCTGCAAGAGAGCGCCAGGCCCAGCCACCAGGCAGGAGGTGGAGCTGGGCAGGAGGGCTGGGCACCTGGGTCCGAGATAACTGCAGTGGAAACGAGGGTCAAAGACTGAGCCAGGGCTCTGACTCCACAGCCAGGCACTCCTCCAGCCTGGGCCGCCTCCGCCTCCCCCTTCCTGAGCAGGACTACCCGCCACGCACTCCGGGCAGGGCTCACGCGGTGTGTGTAAGGGGCGCTGCGAGGCCTCGGTTTCCCTACCTGTAGCGGGAGGGCTTGGCAGGGCCAGGCTGGAGGGGCGCCAGTGCTCGGTGAGGAGAGGAGGGGAAGGGAGGGGGCAGGACCAAGGAGGTCAGCTGGGGAGGAGCTAGGCAGGCACAGCACTGCGCCCCCCTAGCACCCAGTGATAAGGGAGCGTGGGAACCCGGAGGGCGGGCGGGCGGGGGCGGCTCCCCCAGGAACTTTCCAAAACAAGCGGCCTCCTCCGGCTGGAAAGTTTCCACCACTGGAGCTGACCCAAAAGGTGGATAGTTGGGAACGCTCGCAAGAAACATGGTCAGGGCCTGGCCTTGGGGGCTGGGGGCTCCAAGACTCCGGTTCCAGGCTTTGCCCTCAAGGGACTCCAGTGTGGGGGAGCCGGAAGTAGACTGGGGCACCCCTAGGCAGAGACAACTCAGAAGTAGGGTCTGGCAGGGCAGGTTGCCTGGAGGAGGTGGCTGCTGGAAGGGGTCTTGAGATTGCAAAGACATCTCTTATCAAGAGATATGAAGAACTGCCCAGGCAAAAACCTGGGGGAGTGGGTTCAGGGGCAGATGAAAAGGTGGCCAGGTGGGAGGGGGAGAGCAGCAGTTTGGGGACCAGGGCAGACCCTCAAGGCTGGGGACAGGGAATATTGTGTAACAAATATTTGGGTTTTGTCCCTGGTTTCTGGCTGGAGATGGAGTTCAATCGCCAAAGGCTGGTGATTTCATCATACCTACATAACGGAACCTCCGTAAAAACCCCGAAACCGCACGGGTTGGGCGAACACAAGAAGTGTGGGAGGGGGGCACACCTGGAGAAGGGCATGGGCGCCCAGTGCCGTTCTCCACACCCTGCCTTCAGCATCTACTTCCATTTGGCTGTTGGAAGTGTCTTCCTGAGCGCTGTGAGCCATTCTAGCAAACCTCGGAGGGAGCCGTGGGAACCCCTGATGTATAGCCAGTTGCTCACAAGCATGGGTGGCCAGAGACTTGCGGCAGGTGTCTGGAGTGGGGGGCGGTCTCATGGGACTGGGCCCCTAACCTGTGGGCTCTGATGCCAGCTCCAAGAGCTGAAATACAGTTGGTGCCAGGGGACTGAAGGGAGCTTGCGCTCCGAGTGCCAGGTGACCTGGGAATGTGCAGAGACCGGAAAGGCCCCCAGACCCAGCCCTGGGGAGCCTGAGTACTCAAGGGGCAGCCTGTGGGAGGTGCCAGGAGGAGGGTGAGGGCAGAGCGGTCAGCTGGGCACCGGAGAGTGATGGCAGGGATCGCCTGGGTGTGCAACATGGGGGGACTGTGCTGCCTGGGAGCGACTGGGGACCTCTGTCCCCACCATAACACAGGCTCCTGAGGGCAGGGGCAGGGCTGTCTCCGTCACTAAGTGCCAGTGGCCAAGCGGAGCCTAGCACACAGGAAGGGCCGTGGGATCAGAGTGCTGGGGGGATGACAACCAGGGACGTTGGCCAGCCAGTGGCAGGGGTGAGCGGGCGGCCCCAAGGTTGTGAGGTTGGGAAGACCTTTCTGGGGCCCCTGGGGGGCTGGATTTGTGGCATCCTTGGCTCAAGAAGGATCCTGATGGGACCCCCTGCGGCTAAGGTGCACTCAGGGATGGCCATGGTGCCTGTGGGCAGCGTGAGGGGCTACAGGGGAGTCTGGTGATGGGCCTGGGGGAGCACGTGGGCAGGGCAAAGCTGCGGCTTCGTGGGCTTCAAGGGAGCAGACATTGGCCCTGGACCTTGGGCTGTGGGGATAGAGATGTTATCCCCTAAAAGCCCGGTGTGGCCAGGCTGCCTAGGGAGCAGGGTACACTCTGCCCCACGGGGCCCTCCTGACCTTGTGTCCTGCGCCCCTTGGATTCCCGGGCCACCTTAGAACTCGGGCCAAGGCTGGGCCCAGCGGGGCTGTCCAGGAGGCTAAGGCCCAGAGCCCCTGACCCCTGGAGCCCTTTCATCCCAGGCTTATTCTTTGTTTTTCCTTTTGAAAATAAACACCCATCCCCACCCCGTCCTTCAGGAGCAGGACCCTGACCCCTGCCTTCATCTCCTCACCTGAAGCTTGGGACAAGGACAGCCGTCCCTGTTGGCATCCTGGGCCTGGGGGATACCACTGGGCCTCGGCATCCCCATCATGGGCGCAGGGGCAGCCCCAGCGAGCCGGCCTAGCGGGAAGAGACAATAGAACAGGCCGTCACTGCTGTCTTCCCCAGCTGCAGCTCATTTCCCCAAGGAAGGGCACTCTCCGGGCCCCATGTGGCCCTACTACTGCTGGGGGCTGTGGCACTTCATTAGGCCCCTGCTGGACGTGGTCTACCCTGTCCACACCTGGGGACACAGCCCTGCTCATATACCCACCGTGGCTCCCCACTGCCCCCATACCCCCAGTCTTCATCCTTTCCTATGACCAGGCAGTGTGACTTCATGCCTCGCACCAGCAGGGCCCACCGCCTCAGCCAGTCAGCTTCCACCACCGCCGGCCTCCCTGCCACCCCCCACCGCCCGCCTGCTCATCACCGTGGCTGCTCCAGGGCCAATCTCCTCCTGACCCCAGCCCACCCCCGCAGGGGCCCAGGAGGCCCCAGCTGTGACAGACACAAACGCACCCAGGCACTTGGGGCTGCTAGGTTCAGTTCAGTGAAATTTATTGTAGGTTGAAAAAATCAGCATTCACCTGTTTAGTGTACAAAAAGGACACTAGATCTTTTAAGAAAATATTAGGAAACTGAAGACGCGGATGCCTTTCAATCGTAACATTTTGGCAAAAGTGAAAAGTTCTTGTAAACACCAACTCCATGGCTCAAAATAGTTTTTCTCCACAGTACAATATTAAAAGGGGGGGGGGGAACACAGTATCAATAAGTTAGACCATATTTAATCAGCTAGAACTTTTGTCCATCAACCCCCAAAGCACAAAACTTTTCTTAGCTTCATAATTCCTTAAAAGGAGAAAAACAACAACAACAAAAAAAAAAAACAACAAAAAGCCAACAACAAAAAGGAAATTCAACTTAGAGTCCCTTGAACTGGTTCCCAGGGCAGAGGGCCGGGTCAGCCCTCGGGCTGCAGCCTCCTTAAATAATCCTTCACCCGAGTCTGCATGTCCGGCTGAGCACATGACATGGCTGTCTGCAGAACTCGGGGGTCCCTGGGGCCGCCCCCCCACTCCATCCCAAATGAAAAACAAAACAACAGCTATTGAAACATGAAGGATCAGTTCCCTTGGTGCTCCGGGCATCCCAGGGGTCCCAGGGCAGGAGCCGGTGCGGCGGGGTGGGCATCCTGCAGGTGCCTCCACTCGGCGCCTGCTCTTTGGGAAGCCATGAGGAGACCTCCCCGTGGCTTAGGAAAATAGACATGTCTACCGAGCATTTCTGCTCTCCCTGCCTCACTACTGTGGGCGGCAGCACCCCCCACCTCCCCCAGCTTGCGAGCCCCCGGCTCCAGGTTGCAGCCACTCCCTCCGCCTTCCCCAGTCCTGGGTGGCTTCGCTGAATGTGGCCCTGAATGTGAACACACGCCTCAGGCCCCACTGCACGCCGGCAGGGCCCCTCACACACACACACACACACACGTACACGCGTGCACACGCGCACACACACGCGCATGCGTGCGCGTGGTCCCCCGACACTTTGGGGGACACTAGACTAGGCACAGCTACTAAGCAGCAATTATGGTGTCCATGGATCCCATGCCCCCAGAGTGGGCGGATAGGGCACGTTTTCTGAGCTCACTCTCGGGGGGTCCCCTGACCCCACCGACCCCCAGCCCCTCCCTGAGTGCAAACCCTGCGGTGGCTCTGCTAAGATGACCCCAAGACCCACAAGCGGACTGAGGGATGGAGTGAGGTCAACAGCACGGAGACCACTCAGTCTCAGCGCGAAAAGAAAAGCAGCAGCAAAGGGGGAGATTGAGAACATGGTAAAATAAACTCCGACACCGCTGCTGCAGCCGGAGCTCCGGCCCAGAAAGCCCCCAGTGACCCCCTACAGCTGAGGGCCTGAAATAGCGAGGCAGGCCTGGTGGGCCGAGAGCCGCGCGGCCCGCAGCCCTGCCCCTGCAGCTCCCAGCAGCTGCTCCGGGGCCAACTGGAGTTCTCGAAATAGACCTGGGCGGGCCTCCACCCCCTTCAAGCAGAGACCCCGTCCTGGCCTGGGCGGGGAAAGGCGGGGACCAGAGGGAGGGCCCGGGGCAGGAGCACAGCCAGAGCCCAGCACAGGAGGCCCGCCGGCTGCACCCCCCCCACCCCCGCCACCCCCCTCCTTGGGTCTCCCCCTCAGCCCTCAGGAACAACTCTGAACTTTCAGAGGCATCTGTAATACTGCAGGAAGGACACAGGGCGGCATCTAGACCCTGGTGTCCAAGGAGGGGAGGCACAGGTTTAGAAAAGACGCTTTCTCTCTCATACAAAAATAGACGGAAGTCTCATAAGCAGGAGCTAAAAGTGGCTGGCTTTGTATAAAACTAGAAAAGGCAGGCAGGCTGGCCTCGGAGTCTTTCCATGAGGGGATGCTGGAGCCCCTGGGGCTGCGGGCCGGAGAGGAAGTGGGCTTCCTGAACAGCCCATCCCGGGTGGGGGCTCCTCAGGAGGTGTGGGGGGCCGCGGGGAGTGGGATGAGACGCCGGCCACCCCACCTCAGTCTGTGAGCTGAGGGCACCGGGTCTGCGGGGGCTCCCCTGAAAGCCGGCGTTGCTGGCTCAGATGAACGTGTCTTCCTCGTGTTTATTTTTTTAAATAGATTTCTTTTTCCGCTCTGTAGCTCCCCCCCTCCCCCCGCCCCCAGCTGCCCCGCCGTCCAGAACGGTCAGCCCGGCAAGGGGAGCTGGCCTGGCGAGCCGAGCAGGACCTCCTGCCCCGTGGCCCCAGGCTAGGGCCAGGCCTGCAGCTGCCGCTGGTCGTACTCGGCAATGAGCCTCTTGATGTGGGCCAGCTTGCTGTGCAGGTACTCGCAGCGGTGCTTCTCCTGGCTGTAGTTGGTGTTGGTCTGCAAGAGAGCGCCAGGGCTGGGCCACAGCCTCCACGCAGCCGGCCTCCCAGTGCGCCGCGGGGCCGCGTGCTGCCTGGTGCAGCGCCCGCCCGCCCACGGGCCGCCCTGGGCTCCCACTGCCCCTGCCTGCAGGCCAGTGCCACCACCCAATGACAGGGACCCTTGCTCTACCTCAGGCCAGAGCCCCGGGCTGGTGTCCCTCCCCAAGCCCCATCCTAGGAAACAGGGTCACTGCCGGGATGAGGGCGGCCAGAGGCAAGACCCTCAGGAAGCCTCCTTCCTGGGCTGGGGGCCTGGTGGCAAAGAAAAGCCCTGGCGCACAGGGGCAGCTAGTGGCCTTCGGAGCAAGAACCGAGAGGGCCCTGAGGAGGCATTCCTGCCGCTGGGGGTGGGGCACTTCAGCTCCTCCCCTGACCTTGGAGGGAGCTCCAAAGAGCCTGGGGGCTGCAGCCAAGGAGGAGTAGGAGTGCTAGAGGGTGCTTTGCTGCCAAGGGAGATATGGGCTGAGCTTCTCAGCTCTAAATCGGGGAAGGGGGAGTGGGGCAGGAGCTGCTCTGAGGACCTGAGACCCCCAGCCCAGCCGAGGCCCTTCTCTAGTGCTGCTCACCTTGAGACAGCTTCTTCTGACCCCACCCCACCCCCCACTAGGGGTGGAGACTTACCTTTTTGATTTTTCGATATTCCTGCAAAATCTGCCCCCGAGTAGTCTGTAGGAAAAACAAAACAGAAAGTACACAATGCCCTTGCCTGCAGGAGACCCCTACTGAGTGACCCCTTCTCCCCTGATAACCTGTGACCTGCATAGTCACCACCAGCCTTGAGACAATAGTCTCATCATGGCCTGAGAGAAGCTGACCAAAGTAAAGAGAGACAGGCTGCGGTGGGAGGGGAGGATAAGCAGGGCAGGAGGTGGGGGAGGATGCTGGGCCAGGGGAGTGAGGGGCAGGGGCCCAGCCTCAGGGACAAACACAATGGCCAACACAGCGGGAGGGAGGAGGCAAAGAGCAGGCTGGGTGGCCTCCTTCCCTCAGACCCAGCTGGCCTGTCCGCTGTTCAAGGTCAAGCACAGAGCGCCCCCCAACACCTGGGGGTGCAGGGGGATATTGCGGAATATCCATGTGGGGGCTGCAGGAGGGAGAAGAGCAAGACCCCGGGATTCCTCCGTCCCAGACCCTCAGAACCCTCATCGCTCCTCCAATTATGAGCTGTTTCCTCTGGAAACCAAAGTGGTCCCCAAGAGGGGAGACAGACCTCAACACCCCAATTAATCAGACTAGCTCTGAAAGGTGGCATGAGGGGAGGCTGGTGACCAAGGGTGGAGCTCCCCCCCCACCCTCACCCCAGTGGTGAGCTCCCAACTTGGGCTGGCTTGGGGAGCCCACGTGCCTTTGATCAGAGGGTGAGGGGGCCACAGGGACTCCCCAGCCCCACCCCTGTGGCTCTGACAGCATGGGTGGGCTGGGAGCTGCAGAGAGGACCCCAGGCGCTCTTGCAGGGCAGACCCATGTGACCCAACCCTATAGGGCCTGGCTGTTTCGATGGCTCTGAACACAACTCCTGCCGCAACAGGTCATCTCCCACCTGCGGAGTCGGTCTCCAGTGTCCCCACTGCACCGGAGGCCGAGTTGGGCCCGAGAGCCTGTGGACTCCCACGGCAGAGCCGCAGGGACAGGCCCGAAGCACACCAGCAGCCAGGGACGGCTGCGAGCTGGGCCGGGACACGGAGAAACACTGGCGGAGCACGGCGGCCTCCTCACCTGGGAGGGGTTGGAAGCCTGGGGCTTGGCCGCACCCACGAGAAGCGTCTCACCCAGGTCGGGTGCCGGGCGCGGGGACGCGGGCACACTGCGCGGGGCGGGCAGTGCGCGGGGCTCTACCCCCCACTCTACCTCATACTCCTCAGAGCCCTGGGAGAGCTGCCGGAGCTGGGCGTCCAGCTGCGTGAAGCGCCGTGTGATCTGCTCGATGCGCGCGTGCAGGTCGCGGTACTCGCTATACTCCGCGTTGAAGTCGTTCTTGTAGCTCTGGCGCTGCTCCGAGGAGGAAATGGTGGCGTATTTTCTGAGGAGACGGAAAGAGGGGCCGGCAGGGCTCAGGGGGCCGCGGGGGAGAGGCTGGAGTGCCCATGGCTGCCGGGCGGCCCCACCGTGGTGGGCGACTTCCTGGCTCCAGCAGGAGCCCGGCCTCGAACAGGCTGTGGGGCTGAGAACTCCCACACGCAACCATGCAGCGAGTCCGCCTGCTGCTGACCTGCAGTGCAGGGGAGAGTGCGGGGCTGGGAGAGGGCGGGAGGCCAGGGAGGGAAGTACTCACAGCAAGTAGTCGGGGGTCTCTGAGGTCGACGTGGGGACGCTTGAGCTGTTGCAGGTCCCGTTCAAACCTACAAAGAAAGAGCAAAAGGTCTGTTGTCTGAAAGACACGGAGGGATAGCAGAAGGGGAGTCAGGATGGGCAGAGGGCCACCTCGGGGGGCCTCACGGGACCCAGGAGCACTGCAGCCGAGCACAGCGGGTGTCCCCGAACCACAGTCGTGGGACGTGCAGAGAGCCCAGATGGTGCTGCGTGCAGGTTTTCAGCAAGCAACTGCAAGGACAAGTTCATCACAGGGCCAGCGCCTGGGCAGCCTGGCCAGAGCCTGACCCACCCAGAGACCCTGCTGCCTCTGCTCAATGGTCATTACTCTAGAAACAAGCAAGCCCCTCGCCCAGCTCCGGCCCGGTGGGACGGAGACAGAGGGCCGCCTGGGAAAGTCCTGGCTCCTGCCTGCAGCCCAGGCCTCCCACGAGGTGGAACTGGAGGGCACGGGCCTGTCCACGGCGCTTGGGGGCACAGTTGGCCAAAACGATAATCTAGCCTCTTCCCCAGGGGCTTCTTTCCGAGCACAGAAGAGATTTCATCACCGTGCAGTGTACCCTCAGCACATACTGTGCCCCCTTGGAAAGAAAAGCAGCCCCCCTGGCAATCCCTGCGCCGCAGGACTCCCACCAACGGATGGAGCACACGTCTCCCACCTCTCGGGGCGGCAGCCCAATGAACACACACGTGAGAGCTTAGTCCGTGCTTCCACCACACATGCCTTGCATGACGTATGCCTTCCAGAGTGTTCTGCCATTTGTGGGCCCAGTCAACATTGCCTCATTTAGCCCTTCTGAGATCTTCACCAGGTGAGAGAACAAACGGGGAAACCAAGGCTCAGGGTCAGATTCTCCTGGCACCTAAGACACCTTCGAGCTCTGGCCTGAGGCAAACCTCAGAGGCCCTGCTCCTACTGCAGCCCTTGCTGCTTGGCCATCGCTCAGTCCCCGCTGCACCCGCTGAGCTGGTTCCCACCACAGGGCCTGGGCCTAAAGGGAACCCTCCCCACAGCTGCCTTCTCCTGTGCCCCCCCTGGGTCTGGGTCCCACGGTGAGAAGGCGCCCCCCCGCCCAGCACAGCAGGCTGCCCAGGAAGGCACTCGGAGGCAACAGAAGGGGTCCACAGACCGAGCAAGAGTGGGGAGCAGGCACAAGGATGGGCAGAGGACCCAGGGGTGGACCGGAAGCACAGGGGGACAGGTAGCCAGCCCTGAGGGGCACGGGTTGGGGCTATGGGTCCAAGGTGGCATCAGCAAAGGGGTGGCTAAGGCGAGCCATCTGTCAGACAGGTGGGGGCTGCTGCATCTGTCTGGGGCGGAGGCGAGCATGCGGCAGGGCCGGGATGGTGCCACACAGAGGAGTGGGGTCAGTTGATGCCATCCCTCCCACAGGAGACACGAAAGCAAGGAAGCTTCCCCACGTGCTGACCTGGAACCTTCAGTGCGTCTGAGGCAGGGGCTGGTGCACAAAGAACAATGCATTGTTAAAGGGAGGTGGGTGGTTCCCGCTGGAGTGAGCACAGGCAGAGCACACTGTCCCAGAAGGAGCCTCAGAGCAGGACGGTAGGCCTCTGTGCTCAGCCGCTACCGTCACGTTTGAGGCGCCTGCAAGACGCACATTCAGATGGATACAGCACCATTTTCAGTGCCTTAGTTGTCCTCATCGTTTCCTCTGGGCCACCTACTCCCTGGTGTGCCTGATTCCAAATCTCACTTTCCCACCTTAACCTGGGGCAAGCTACCCAGGCCAACGTGCCCTGGGCAGGATCTGAAGCCATCTGAGCGCCATGTGTCATCCTCCTTCCCTGGGCCCTGCCAGGGGAACACGGGGCCTTGCTTTCACCGTTTAGGACAGGACGTGCTGCTTGGCTGGGCCTGCCCAGGGTTTGTCTCTCCAGGCAGGACCAGCTCCAGGGAACCAGGCCTTGCCTCCATCCAGCTACTGCCAACACCTGCCCTCCAGCCAGAGGGATGGGCTGGCAAAGGCCTTTCTGGAGAGCAGTTGAACAACTCATTAAAAAGCCTTAAGGAGAAAGCAGCTCTACCCTTGCCCCAGGAATGCCTCCTGCTTGGATCCTTCCTAGGAAAATAATCTGAAAGCAGCACCAAGTTACACAGCCTGAGACTATCTGCAGGTGGCAGGTGCAGCGCATCTCTGTGACCACACCATGCTGATTAGGTTAACAGCCACAGGGGCTGTTCAGCTCAGGCACCCCCGGCTATGAACTCAAGGTGGCCCAGGCTCTGGGGGTGAAGACCCCTACTCCCACCCCAAGTCTGGCCTGTCCATACACCTCCCCAGGATCTCTGGGCCCCACAAAGTTTCTCTGGCTCAGCACACAGCCCCAGCCAGCCTTGCACCCCTCTCATCCTGCTGTGATCCCAGGTCTCTCGACTTCCGGCTTTCTTACCTGCTTATGACCTCCTTCTGGCTCCTACAGCCTGCTGTTCTATGGACAGCTTCCCAAACCCAGTCTCCACAAGCTGAAATGTTCACTAGTGAGCAGGCTACACGAGGCCTGTGGCAGTTCAGGTGCTGCCCCTCTCCAGCCAGGCCCTGTACCCCACTGCCTTCCTTGAACCCCAGCCCCACCCTGCTCCCTTTCAGTGTCTGCGACCTCCCTTGCAAGGAGAGCTGCGTCTGGAACTAGTTCCTCTCCGGGTGCACTGTCCCCTCCCACGGGCCCCAGCTCGGAGGTTCTGTGCTCCTAGCACTGGCCTGACACACAGCAGGACCACAGAAGGCTCCAGGGCCGAGACACTGGGGCATTCACAACCTTGTATAAGAACACAGGGAGCCAGGGTGCCTGGGTGGCTCAGTTGGTTAAGCAACTGCCTTTGGCTCAGGTCATGATCCCCAGGTCCTGGGATCAAGCCCCGCATTGGGGTCCCTGCTCAGCAGGCGAGTCTGCTTCTCTCCCTCCCCATGCTTTCACTCTCTCTCTTTCAAATAAATAAAATCTTAAAAAAAAGAAAAAAAAGGAACACAGTGCAAAGGAGCTGAATGTGCAGGGCGTGCCGGTATGGGGGCTCATGGCGTGGTAGAGCCCCCTCTGGGCAATGGTGGGGGTGGGCTGGAGCTCACCCCACCTGGCAGTGTCCTCCTACTGCATCCCCCACCCCAGGTCGGCCTCCTGGTACATACCCGGGGCATCTGGTGGGGCTCCTAGGGGGCTGGGCATGTGGTCTGGCAACCGGGCCTGGTGTCTGTCCTCAGTTGCTCTCTCCTTGTCTTTGTGCTTCTTGGACTTCTTCTTGGATTTGCTGCGTGATGAGCCACCATGGGGCCTGCTGGGCTGGGCACAGTCCGTCAGCAGGGGCAAGCTGAGGCACGTAGTTGGGGCTGGGGTGGCCACTTCCCCGTGCTCACAGTCCCGGCCACTGTGGCCCAGGTCATTGCTGACGTCAGCCAGAGGGTCATGGGCCCTCGGGGGCTCCAACCGCGGGGGCAGGTGGGCATCTGTGCCAGCTAGTGGGCCCGGAGTGGGCAGCAGGGCCTCACGGCCATGGGGTGCACTCAGCTTCCCATTGACGGCAGGCTGAGCTCTCTGGGTAAAATGGGATATCCTGGTTTTCTTGCTGACCAGGGAGTCGGTGAAATCAGGAGGCTGTGATCGTTTCTGCAATGGGAGGGAAATAATTTTAAAAGGGAGACTGTCTGGAGCCACTGGTGTCTCCTGAGAAGTGGCTGGGGAGCAACAGGCCCTGAGCTCACGAGGCCCTAGGAAACCCAGTGCCTGACTGCAAGGCCCAGTCTGGCCACAAGGGGGCACCCAGAAAAGAGCCAGGTCCCTGCTAACCTAGGCTCAGCCCACCTTGAGGACAGAGCCAAGGAAGGGCAGTAATAGGCGGAACTGGCCAGCTGAGCACTCAAGAAGGGCCACCTCCAGGGACTGGTCTGAAACGTCACAGCATTCAGCATCATCCCTAGATGATGGGGATGTTAACAGAACCAAGTCTGAAGGACACACGGCAGCCCCACAAGTTGGGACTCTCCCCACCCCCCACCAGACCCAGAACTACTTGGATCCTCAAGGGACACCCTGTGACATGCTGCAGGCCACACCCCACTTCACAAGCGAGAAGGCTGAGGCATGTGAGGTGAGGCCAGACCACGGATCGCCCAGACCCTGGGAAATGGCTAGAGAGCAAGATGGTAGGCGGCAGGCCTACCATCAGGGGGAAACAGGGTAAGGAGGCTGTCAGCCCTCTACTTTGGCCCAAAGCCAGGGCAGGCACAGACCTGACCTCTCCACAAGGAGGATTCAGGGCCTTGGACATGGGCTGGGAGCCTCCAGGGCAGAGGAGAGAAGGGGGGTAAATAAGAGACTTGCTACGAGGGGTTCATGAGCCAGGTGGGGACACATGAGCGCCCGTCCTGACTACTGACTAAATCGGCAATGGCCACCACTCCCAGGGCCCTGTGCCTGTAGCCAGCCCGCGTGATTTTACGGAAACTTCATGTCAGCCCTGGGAGGCGAGTGCACCTGCCACACCTGCTGTACACAGAGCACAGGGTTCAGGGCAATCCGGGAGCCTGCCCTCCCCTGGACACACCACCCACAAGCATTCGAGGGAACTGCACCGAGGGCCCAGGCCCAGGTCCCCAGTCTGGGGAAAGCCCGGCAGTTGCTCACTCACTGAAGAAAATACCTGGCTCTGAACCAAGGGCCCCATGGGCATGCCCAAACACTGAGCTCAGGCCTGGCCCACTGGCCCCTATCCCGCCTTCCTCCCCCACCACTGCCACCACCACGGCCTCTGCACATTGTCACATCCTTGCCCACCGCTCCTACCTGAGGGGGTGAGGCCGAGCTTCCATGTTCCCTGGGAGGACTGGTGGCAGCAGGGTCTCCAGGGAGCCCAACGGCACTCTGCGGCTGGCACAGCTTCCTACGAAGGAGAGGTGGGGTAGCTGTACGGCTCCACGACCTGGGGGGCGCGTCCAGGCCCACCTGCCTTCCCACTGACACCACACTGTCCCGCCTACACCCAGTGAGTCAGGGCGGGCCCTGCCATCCCGACGAACCAGAACAGGGTCGAGTACACTGGGTACCTCGGGGCATGGCAGGCAGAGAACAGCCCAAACACATCCCACCCCAGGCTCATCCACAGCCCGGAGGACTGCCCACTTGGTGTCCTGTGTGCCCAGAGAAAGCTCAGTGGACCACCCACTCATCTAGACACCCATTACTGTGGAAACCAGAAGCCCAAGTAAAACTGACTGGATATTCAAGCTTCATGCTGTGTCCCTGTGGGAGCTGGGTACACTGGGGCACTGGCCCCTCCTTTTAAAAACAATCATTCAGGGGCGCCTGGGTGGCTCAGTCGTTAAGCGTCTGCCTTCGGCTCAGGTCATGATCCCAGGGTCCTGGGATCAAGCCCCACGTCGGGCTCCCTGCTCGGCGGGAAGCCTGCTTCTCCCTCTCCCACTACCCCTGCTTGTGTTCCTGCTCTCGCTAACTCTTTCAAATAAATAAAATCTTTTAAAAAAAACCAAACAAACAATCAGTCATCCTAATAATGCTTACTGCAGGAACTTTAGAAAATGCTGAAGGGGACTGAGATGCCCTAGCATGACAGGAAGGCCTCCCAGATTCAGGAACGACCTTTCCAGGAGCCAACATGACAATATATCCTCAAGGATAACAGGGGCAGCCACCGGCCTACCAGTACCTGAGCATAACGATGCAGCCAGGGACAAGGGAAGAGACACCCCAACACTCAGAAGGGCAAATGGAGGCCACACTAGCGACCCTGGCTTGAGGGCCCTCTCTGATCCCCTCTCATTCCCAGAGGCTGTGAGTCTCACGGGAACCCGGCAGCCAGCCCGGTGCCAAGCGTGGTGCCATGGGCCCTCTGCGCTCTGCCGGGGTCTGAGGCTACAGGGACCGCGTCTGCACTGCTCTTAACCAGTGACGAGCCGAGCAGACCTCCTTAACTGACGACCACATGACAGACCGCTGCTACTGTCCCCTCCGTGGTGGCCCCAAATGCGAGGAGAGCCCCAAGAAAAGTGCTTGCAACGTGCAAGCACTCACCAGGGGCCCAGAGTCCCCACGGCCAAGACGGGTACCTCAAATTTGCTGTCCAGCCACACGGAAGCAACCACAGGCATTGACATCTGCTCTCTTTCCAGCCTCCACTGAACAGGCATGAAGAAGAACGGGAAAAGAGAGCAGCACGATCCAATGCTGAAAGCAGAAGCAGTGACTATCTCATAGGATCCAAGAAAATGGGGCCTCAAGCCATAGAACCCCACGGGCCTGGGCTCAGACTCTCAGAGACCTCAGAGAAGGGGCTCCTGCAGGGCTGTCCCTGCTCTGCTCTGGGGCTGTGGGGAAGGAGCCCACAGTGTGGCCATGAGTGAAGGAGCCCAGCCTTCTCTAGGAGGCCAGGAGGCTGCTCAAGACACACCTGGACAATGGGATGGACAGAGGTGTGGCCTCAGGAGACTGAGGAAACAGAGGGGTCCATGGGGAGGTTCAGAGAAACCTAGGCAGCCCTCCTGAGGAAACGGAGCCACTCAGGAAAGCCTTGAAGAGCTGCACCTAGGCCTCCAGGTAACAAATGTCAGAGTCCAAAAGAAACAAGAGAATGCATTTGAAAGGGAAGAGAGACTCTATAAGCAGATGAAAACTAAATCCACAACAGAAACACCAGGCTTAATATCCACAGAACACAAAGGACTTGAAAAGACATTTCTCCAAAGATGATACACAAATGGCCAATAAGCAGAACAGACACTTCTCCAAAGAAGACATCCAAATGGCCAACAGACACATGAAAAAGTACTCAACGTTATTAGTCATCAGGAAAATGCAAACCAAAACCACAATGAGATATTTACCTCACACCCACTGAGAGGTCTAGAATAAAACAAAACAAGAACGGAAAATAATAACTATTGGTGAGAAAGTGGGGAAACTAGAAAACCTTTTTATGTGTTGCTGGGAGGGGAAATATAAAATGGTGGAGCTGTTGTGGGAAAAAGTTTGGCGCTTTTCCAAAAACCTCAACTCCAGTCCTCCTTCTGTACTTGAGAGAACTGAGAATCTATGTCCATAGAAATCCTTGTACACAAATGTTCACAGGAGCACTATCCACAATCACCAAAAGGTGGAAATGACCATCAACACGTGAGTGGATGAACAAACGTGGTGTGTATCCACACACGACAGATTACTGAGCCACAAAAAGGAACGAAGCTCTGATAACATGTTACAACCTACGTGAACCTTAACTGTACACCGTACACTGAGTGAGAGAAGCAACTCACCAAAGGCCACATGTTGTAACAGCCCATTGATACGAAACGTCCAGAACAGGGAAATCCATAGAGACAGAAAGATCAGTGGTTGCCAGGGGGGAAATGGGAGTATCTGCTAATGCGGGGTTCCATTTTGGGGTACACGTTCTGGACCTAGTAGAGGTAGCAGTCGTACAACACTGTGAATGTAATGAACACCACTGAATTGTGAGAAAGAAGAACAAGGCTGGAGGCATCACAATCCCAGATTTCAAGATACATTATAAAGCCATAATAATCAACACAGTATGGTATTGGCACAAAAAACAGACACAAGGGGAGTGACCACAGGGCTGGGCACGGCTGCCGAGGCCTCATCGTGCACTGGAACACCTGGGACAGGATGGGCCCCAGCAGCTACACACACGGGGAACAGAAACACTGAGGAAGAATCAAAATGATGCTGTAAGTGGGTGTCCATGTAGAGCAGAGCCTCAGGGGCCCAGGGGCCCAAGCAAGCTTTCAGCATGCTTAACTCTGGTATGAATTTTGAACAAGCTGTAAGGAAAAGGAGGCGGCCCAACTTCTGGGGTGATACTGGTCCCCACAGGCAGAAATACCCCAAGGCCCTATTTTTCCTTCTTGCTTCGAGGCTTCAAGAACCGCTGTAAATGGGGTTTTCTTCAGGGAGGGAACAACCTAAATTGAAGAAAAAAAACTGCACAGACAGGTGGCTGGGGTAATCTTCAGTGTGGTTGCAAGCATTGAGGATGCTGACCCTGACCTTTGCACACCAACTGGCTCAAGGTTCCAAGGACAGTAGGTGCGGCTGGTAACAAGCGGTTTCTGGCGCGGCTGATCCCTAAGCTGGCCCGTGCAGACAGAGAGAGGAACACCATGCTTGCCCAGGAGAAGGCCGAGTGCCTCGGGTTCACACAAGTCCTGGCAGCTCACTCAGCGGAGCAGGGATTAATATGAGCCAGGAATTACACAAAGCTCCAGAGCCGTGGGCGCCTGGGTGGCTCAGTTGTTAAGCATCTGCCTTCGGCTCGGGTCGTGATCCCGGGGTCCCGGGATCGAGCCCCGCCTCGGGCTCCCTGCTTGGTGGGAGGCCTGCTTCTCCCTCTCCCGCTCCCCCTGCTTGTGTTCCCTCTCTTGCTGTGTCTCTGTCAAATAAATAAATAAAATCTTTAAAAAAAAAAAAAAAAGGTCAAGAGCCGAGATTCCTACCGACCCCACCTACACACACACACACACACAGCAAGGCTACTTGCTCTTGGCCACGCCCCTTCTGGAGAGCTCTGTGTGGCCAAGGCCCTTGGGGTCTGACAACAGCAGCTACCTAACAAGAGGCTCTGAAGGGAGGGAGGGCAGGAACAGCCTTGCAGTGTCCTTTGTGTGTCCCTCGTCACCTCAAAGCACTTGGTTGGGCAAATTTGACCATTTCAACACCAGACTCTTTGACCAAAAATGTGTGATGGATGAAAACACCTGTAGGAGGTGACAGTACCAACTGGACGTGTTTAGCTGGGGCAACAGGAGACGCCAGAGAGGGGACGGGGGTCGGAGTGGTCTTCTACTGAGAACAGCTCCTCAGCCTCCCTAAGACCTTTGGACAGCCAGACCAGTGACCCCAGGCTGGCTCGGAAGCAGGTACTGGCTTGGGGAGGAGTGCCCTGCAGGGCTGAGGAGAAACTCTGGGTTCACCTAGAGTAGCCCCAAGTCTACATGCAATTATTGCTTTAAACAGCTGAACTTAAAAACAAAACAAAACAAAACCAACCTCATAAATAACTCAAGTCCCTGAGAAATCACTTAAAGACTAATTAGTGTATCAGCCTGCTCTGAACGGCGCTTCACAGCCTGTGCTCCCAAGTCAGGCATCAGCGGAGAAGGAAATCATTAATTGCTCACCTGAGCCAGGCAGGGGCCTACTTAACCACTCCTCCCCTGAGCCACCAAGGCCACTCCTGACCTCAGGTCCCAATTAATCTGAGAGGGAATGTGTTTAATTAATGCTACTTAATCACGCCTGTGGGGAGTTTTGTTTTGCTGTTTCTCTCTGCTTCAAGTTCTTAGAGGTTCTTTTTAAGAAGGAGGTGGCCTGGGGCGCCTGGGTGGCTCAGTTGGTTAAGCGACTGCCTTCGGCTCAGGTCATGATCCTGGAGTCCCGGGATCGAG